TGGTTTTTATTTATATCCCCAGTGAGTTCTGAGAGAACACCAGGAATAACACCTTTATAAGCTATCTCACTGAAGCCAGTGACAGAAGTTCAGGGTGACTGCAGTGAGGATGAGATTTGATTCAAGATAATGAGGAAAGGAAAAAAACAAGCAGCTTGATCTGGAACATAGAAAAAATACAAATCAGAGTGATTATGGCCTCATGCTTAATGGAAAGCATGTGAAAAGTGTTAGCAAGACTGGGTTTTACTTTCCCAACTGGAGATTTGAAACACTTCAGAAAAAAAATAGATGTATTAATGTTATTATTCAACACCACATCTATTTAGTGAAAAATAACAAATGATAATTAATACTACCAAAAGAAGAGAGTCCAACTATTTTCTAGATCATTAAAATGATGCTTTTTGGAAGAGTACAAAAACCCTTCAAGTACAAAAATTAATGTAAAATCATATATATAAAGTAAGATTTCATTTAAAAATAATACACATTCCCGCGATCAGAAGGGAGCTGCACCACCGTCTGGCTGGAACCCGGGGCCAGCAGCGCCGAGCCCCGACACTGAGCGTGCCCGCAGGCAGGGGTGAAACACCGCGCCAGGCTCCTCCAGGGCTGGCGGCTCAGCAAAGCAACTGCTGGCCCCGTGCTCGGCATTCCCCGGCAGAAAAGCCGCCGCTCACTGCATTTCCAAAGCAAATTACCTGGTTTTTACTCCAAAGACTTAAGACACTCTGGACCCCCGAAATCCAACCGGAGGCACCTGCCCCCCCTTCGCGGCCGCCTCTCTCGCCCCCGCTGCCGTCCGACACCCCGGAGCACTGGCGAAGGCACCGCCGGGGTTTCTTTTTCCCTGCCGGGATCCCCTTCCCGGCGCTCCCCCACAGCGCTCCCCCCGAGCTGCGGCGCCTCCCGGAGCGGGGCTCCAGACCGGGCTCCGGCCCCTCCGCTCAGGCCGCCCCGCGCCCCGGCCGAGCCCCCTCACGCCCGGGCCCCCTCCCGAGCCCCCTGCCCCGGCCCTGGGAGAGGCCGCGGGACCCCAAGCGCCAGGCGACCCCTCCGGCACCGCGCCGGCTCCTGTCCCTCAGCCCGCGGGCATCTCCCGCCGCCGGGAGCCCCGCTGAATCCCCGGAGCCCCGGCCTGGCCCCTCAGCGCCGCCCCGCCAGCCGTGCCCGCGCCCCGCGCCCCTCACCGGCCTCCATCCTCCCGCTGTCACCATCCTCCTCCCCTTCGCCCCGACACGGAGGCACAACACGGCCGCGCCGCGGGGCGCCCTGGGAGCTGCAGTCCCGCCTCCGGCCGGGAGCACACCGTCCCTGCGTCCATGGGACTACAAACCCCAACAGCCCCCGCGGCCCGAGCGGCGAGAGGAGCAGGCGGGCAGGGGCGATTGGCTGGACTGGGCGCCGGCGCCCTCCTGATTGGCGGTTCGCGGGCTTGGCCCCGCCCCGCAGGCGGGCAGGCGCGGGGGCAGCATGGAGGGCGCGGTGTCGGACGTGGCCGTGTGTAACCTGGCGTTCGCGGGGCGCCTCGAGGAGCTGCGGGCGCTGCTGCTCCGCGACCGGGCCCAGGCCACGCGGGCCGACCAGGTCAGCCGGCTGCGGCCCCGGGCGGCCTGGGGGCGGCTCTTGCCGGCCGCTGCCCGCCCTTGCCCCGCTGACCGCTTCCCTCCCGCAGGATCACCGCACCGCGCTGCACTGGGCCTGCTCGGCGGGACACACGGACGTGGCGGAGCTCCTGCTCGGGCTCGGCGTGCCTGTCAACGACAAGGACGATGTGAGTCTGAGGAACCGCGGGGCGCTCCGGGGCCGCGGGTGCTGCTGGGCCCGCTGCTGTCACGGTTTCAGCCGCAGAGGGGCTCTGACAGCGGCCGGAGCCCGCCCGGAGCCGCTTGCGCCGCTCCCTCCTCGCCCTCGCCCCCTCCGGCCGCGGCCCCCGGGCGGTGTCTGGCACTTGGGCAGGTCCCGGCTGCTCTGTGGGAAGTATTCCACGTTTGGAAATAGGCGTGAGGAGGAGATCTGAGACCTGCTTATTGTCCTGGAATTCTAGGAGAGCTGTACTTATGAAGGAAGCTGCAAAACCAGAGGTGTTTGGGTGATTTTGGGGTTTTCACATTGCCTTTATCTCCCTGAGATCTCTCAAATATGTTGTGCCAAATCATGAGGCAGCCTGAAGATCTCTCACACTAGGGAAGGCATTAATAAAGCAGGTGCAGGTTCAGTGGTTTCACAGTTGGAAAGGAGATGGCCTGCTCCTGTTCTAGAGGAAGAGTTGGAATATTTGTATCCATTACAAAGCATCTAAATGTCACCCATAAAGAAGGAAATGTCTCATCAGTTTAGAGAGTAGGATATAGAAAAAGTTAACACGCTTTTCTACTACTGCTGTTTGTTCTTAAAAAGGCATTAGTGTAAATTCTGCAGGGACAAAGTGCTCTGCAAAGATACCATGCATTACTGCATAGCAGAAGTGATTTCTGTCATTTAACTGGCAGCTTTTTCCAGGTACTGAATGCAGGGGTGTAAGAAGACATGAGCCTTCCATCTAGTGAAAATCAGTAATATTTTAGCTTTACACTGGTAAGAATATGAGCAGTGTGAGTAGTTCAGGTTTGTCTGGGTTGTACATTATCATGTTTTTCTGCCTGAAACTCATGGTTTGAATAATGTGGATTTCTTCTTGCCTCTGTAGGCTGGTTGGACTCCCCTGCACATTGCTGCTTCAGCAGGCCGTGATGAAATTGTGAAAGCCCTCATTGCTAAGGGTGCTCATGTAAATGCTGTCAATCAGAATGGCTGCACACCCCTGCATTATGCAGCCTCCAAAAATAAGCAGGAGGTATGTTTACCTAAGCTACTGGAGCTGGTGGTGTTCTTGGAAGAAGGATTTAGGTGTATTAAGCCCACATCCTCCTCCCCTGCTCCTTTCTCTTTCAACATGCTCAGATTGCAATCATGCTTTTGGAGAATGGAGCAGATCCAGATGCAACAGATCATTTTGAATCCACCCCATTACACAGAGCAGCATCCAAAGGAAACCTAAAAATGGTACAGATCCTTGTGCAGCACAATGCAACTTTGGATATCCGGGACTCTGAAGGGAATACTCCTCTGTAAGTAATTTTTTATTTTTATTTTGCTTAATATAGAGTAATTTCTGTGAAATTCAACTCCATTATTTCAATGTCTTTTTCTTTCTTTAATTTTTTGTTGCTTCAAAATACACTCTTGCTTCACATCCCTGTGCAATTAAAAAGTATTTCAGAAAGTCATACGTAGTATTTTACCATAGTGGTCTGTGCATGCATACTTTACCTTGTGTTACTGCATCCACTTAAAGAGTGTAGAACACATTTTGTATTAATCTGGAATACATTGGTTGTTGCTGTGGGGTAGAAAGTGAGCTAATGACATCAGAGTGAGAGGAAACTGGTCTTGCAGGCTGGTCTACTCTGTCCTGCCAAGCAAGAACTCATTTCAGAAGCTTTTCTTCACCTCTCTAAAGAAAATCAGCAATTGAAATACAATCAGCCCAATGCTTATTGTTACCTGAGAGATCAATTTGAATCTGTAAGGGTTACAGCTATTTTGAAGTTGGTGTCAAAACCAAGTGGAATCCAGATTTTGCTGTGAATAAAATCAAGCAGTAAGTTTTAGCTGTACATAAATCCCAGTATGGCCTTGGAATGCACACAGTTCTTCCTAGGACGCTGTGCCAAATGGAGACAAGCATTTGCTGCATTTGCAGTAACTCATTACTTTTTAGCATCAGACAATTTATTTCTCACTTTCAATTTAATAGAGATTGCCATTTTCCATTCTCACCATGGATTATGTTCTCTTTAGCTTTGCTGACTGCAGAGCCAAATCCTAACCCAAAGAACTGTCTTAACATTGCAAGGAGAGCAGCAGGAGGAATGTTCTTGAGTTGCTTAATGACAGCAGAGGGACTGGACAGCAAGCTTTGGAATCTGTCTAGGTAGTTGGCTGCTTGTGGATTTGTTGTTCTCAGATGTATCTCCCCCCAGCATTGACACTGTCATTTTGACAAGGTGTAATTGTTGCTCTGTTACAAGCTTGGAGAGTTTAACAGTGGCTGTGGGTTTCTTGTTCTCACTGCAGCCATTTAGCCTGCGATGAAGAGAGAGTGGAGGAGGCAAAGCTGCTGGTGTCCCATGGTGCAAGTATTCACATTGAGAATAAAGAAGAGCTGACCCCTCTGAAAGTGGCCAAGGGTGGCCTGGGAGCCATCCTTAAAAGAATGGTGGAAGGCTAGAGGGGGCTTCACTTGAGTCTGTCTCCTGTTGCACTTCTGCTTACGATTGCAGACTTCATATTTTGATAGTTCACCTGGGATGTCATGTATGGTATCAGCATGGTAATGAAATGTTTTTATTGAGGCTGTCCTTCAAGTGCAGTGCCAAAACAACTCTTTGTACTTCCTGTTAATTAAATTGTTCACTGACTTTAAAGTATTTTTCAATATCTTGCAGTTTTCTTTCAGTTTACAGTGTGATGTGTATAAATGTGGTATTCTTTCTACTTCAGATCCCAGCTTAGAATTATTTCTTTCAAGAAACAGGACCAAAAATGTTTTCGCCATTTAAATCCAAATTTGTTTTCTTCTAGAGTCTTTGTTTTTTCTCTTAGCTTTTGTGATTTGTGTGTGGGGTTTTGTCTGTGTTTTGTGGGTACTGATTGTCTTTCTCCAGATGATTCTAAGCTACAATGTATTTCTCTTTGTGGAATGCAGTTTGCTTAGTTACTTAGATAATTGTATCCATTTTTGCTACTGTTGGTGTATTAAGTTTAAAGCTTTTCTGTTGTTACTGGTTGTTACCCTGTTTTTCTCTGAGTCTTTAATACATGTATTTGATGAAGTACACTGGACTGCTTGCAGAATGCAGGCACAGTTTCAGGGTTACCTCTGCAAATACACTGTTTTATAATGGATGGCTCTGGATACTCCTCTGGGATGTACTTCAACTTTAATTTTTTTCTTCTTGTTCCTTTTGAAGGTTTCTTTTTCTGTTCTCTTTGACTCCCATATGCAGCACTGACACTTGCAGTTTACCATCTTATTTTATAGAAGCCTGGTTTAACCTTTATTTACTCATGGCAAATCCTGATATTAAGTTATTACAAGGCAGAGCTAACAAAGTAGAGCCTGAAAAGTGACCTCCTGTCCTGATGTTAAGATAATTTTTGACACTGGTGGATAGAGTTCCACTTGAACAAAGAATGAAATTGTGTGAAATAAAGAACTTTCCTAAACAACAGTCTTTTGTATTATAAAACTTTATTAAACTGACATGTAAGAAAACCAGTATTTTCTAAATATACATCCTATGTATTTTTGGGGTGTGAACAACAAGATGAAGCCCTGCCATCCGTTACACAGTATGGAAATGCAACATGTTTGCTCTTCAGCCTCAAGGAAAGGGTGAAATGCAAGCTGGCAGTTTCTACAGTTTGACTTGTAGGGATTAAGGTAATGCACTTTATTTTGATAAGCAACACAGAAACTTACAACCATACAAATACCTTCACCAAGGACTTTAAATGTGTCTTAGAACACAAAATGCAGGTTAAATTTCACTGAGGGGACTCATTAAGAGCAGGAGGGATAACTTGCCTGTACAGTAAACTCTGCCCATGCAGACCTTGATTGAGGGAGGAAGCTGACTGAGTAAATGTTTCTTATATATTGCACAGGCATGGCTGAAAATTTGATTGGAGAGCAGCTGAAGCTAAAGTTCTGTGTTCATTCTTGGTTTTTGCATAGCAAAAACCCTGCTCTGTACCTTTGTAAATCTGCTTCCTTAGGAGATGGTGGCTTGAATGAAATGTTAGCTTAGTTTTTGGTTTCCATATTAATGATCCCTTCTCCCTATGGCAAGATAAATGGGCCATGCAGCACAGACTGTTGGAGTATCTAAAGCTTATTCTGAAAAATGTTTGTGCATCCTGCATAGCTCTGCAGGGTTTTAGAGCTACACACCGTGGATCAGTACCTAATTGGACCTGTGCTTTGCCAAGAGTATCAGTGGGGAGCTGGGAATGGTGCCCCATCCTTCTTAATAAACTTTAGATAAACACCAAAATGAGAACAAACATCTGACAGAAGGCTTACAGAAAACACCACACTATGGTAAGAAACTCCAAATACATGTTATTTTCCAATACATGTTATTTTCCTTATCTCCTTACTCCCAGCATCCTGTTTTGCTTCTTATTTTGCCTTTTTACTACCATCTATTACTCACTAGTGGTTGGAAGTATGAGAGGAGTCATTAGTCAAGAATGTGGTGAATTGTTCCTTTCTTTTATATAAAAACTTAAACACAACTTGAGCAATTTCTACTTTTTGAACAAATATAAAACCTGTGGTATTCTAGGAAGGCTGTACCATCTACAGAAGTTAGTGACAACTTCACCAGCATAAGCTCCTATCTTACTGTAGCAAGTTAGGTAAGGAATACCAGCAGATAAATTTGGGAAATGAGATGAAGGAAAGATTAAAAGAAATCTGACCACATAATAGAGTCCCCTCTTGAATCACAATAGTGCTGTGCAGAGGTGTGGAAGCTGGAAAGGTGTAGCAGTAAGAACAATGTGACAAGAACACATACATGCAGGAAATGGCTTTAGAAGAACTCATACAGCTATATCAGTGACAAGAAGCCATTAATCTTTTCCTATGAAAGGCAAGAGTAAAAGAATGCTTAGGAATGTCAGATAAAGTATTTTAAATTATTGTTGTCAGCCAAGCCTTTGGACCAATAATTTATTTGAATTATATCATCAGGAAACACCTTCAGTAAGAAATAGCACCCAAAGAGCAGCAGGTGGTACTGACGGTTCCTTTGCTGTTTCTGAGTGTGTTTAATGTCATCATCCTGCAGGTTTGCACAAATTGGCTGTCAATATCAGATCTTTTCAGTAAGCTGCTTAACCTGGATGGCAGGATGGGAGGGAGGAATTTGGCCTGGCACAGAGTCAATAAGAGCTGCCTGGTTAGAAGATTTCTGTATAGATCCCAATTTGAGATTTACCCTGGATATTCTGGGGAGAGAGGAGTCTGAGGATCCACTGCTACAACGTGGCAATATTGGTATTAGCAAAGGTGTGACCCTCACAGACTGGCACAAACAGTTTTTGGCTAAAATAGTGCTAGAAGAATACCATTAATGCTATTTTAGTCTGGAAGGAAGCTAACACTTTGATAGGACACACCTATCAAACAAAAATATTTGGAAGTCAGAAAACTGAGGAAGGAGCAATGAATACAATTATGCTTGAAGATCCAAAATAAATATTAACTAGGATCTCATGCCTTACATCCTTAAATATTGCCCCTTTTTTTTTCCTTTTATATATATTTTTTAAAGTCTCTATTTTGAAAAACATACTTAGAGCTGTAGGAACTGAAGCTGAAAATTTTAGCCCAGAAATCTTAAAGATAAATGTTGCATATAACTAATGTTTATAGTCTAGGAACAGTCACCAAAGGATTTACAAATATTAGATCCTATGAAAGACTTAAGTACCAAAAAACTTGAGATCTCTGAGCCAGATATGTTTTCCTGCAGTGCATGAGACTGAAAGCAGTGTCTGCCTGCATCAACAAGGCTGTGGGTCTGCATTTGCCTGAGCAAATGGTCCTTCAGCTTTTCTGGGAGCATTATCTTTGCCTTTATGAAAAACTGAGTTTGTATAACATTAGAAATGAGGCCCAGGGAGAAGGATTGTCTGGTGACCCAGGTGTGTATGGTTCAATTCCCTTTTCTTCTTCCAAGAGGGCACTCATGGCTCAACTGCTGCTCTCAGTGTCATTGCAGGTGTGCTGTGCACCACTTACTTCCCTCTTGATGCTTTCATCTACAGAAGATAGATTGGTACACTGGGATAAGAGACCAGAAGAAAAGTAGCCTGAGTTTGTTGCTTAGTGGGTAGGAATAGCCTGGAAAGAGATTTAAATCATCTCAGACAGAGGAAGCAATTAAAACTCATGTGTTGTACAGAAGTGCATCACTCCTAAGTTTTGAAAGCAGCTTTATCTGTGTGTCATGAGGAATGTGATGTTGTGCATGCCTATTGGAACAGCCTTGCAAAGGATTTAGATTTCCAGCTTCTGTTGTGTACAACAGTCATTTCTGTCTGAACTAGGTACCCAAATGCCAGTTCCATTAAACTGAAAATCAGAATTGCTGAAATGGACAACTCTGTAACACTGGCACCCTTGGGAGCTTTAGGCCAAGGAGGTCAATGTTAACAGAATGTTTTCCATGTCAGGCAGCAATGGGGTAAAATTTTCCTGGATTTTTTTTTTTTAAGCTTACGTGAAATTCGGGCACACAAGATTTTCTTGACTCAAGTCTCAACATCTGTGAAGATGTTAACAGATGTTTCAGCATTCTGATGACAATAATGTAACCTGTTTTAAATTCTGATGTGCAAAATCAGTTCCTTGAAACACTGCAATGTACTGGCCATGATTACTTGGTGCACATGAAGCAGGCTGGCTAACACTGTTTCTGGACAAGGCTGCTGTGCTTCTGAACTCTGTGCACACACAGCATTACTGGGAGTTCACTGGAAAGGTCTTACTTTAACAAATGCTTCAGCCCATTTCCTAACTCGTTTTGCAAAATAGGTTGACGTTGATGATACTCTTTTTATACTTAAATTTTTGTACTGTATAACTAGATAATAAAATAAATTTAAAGGCCAAATTTTCTGGTATTTACAAAGTGCCTGTGTAGCAGACTCTTTTTGATCCACCCCAGTGGGTCACAATACAAATGCCTTGAATACAAGTTTTAGTCATGCTTCCATGTTAATTCAATGACAACAATTTTTGTACAAAGGGGTCCAAAGGTGACAAAGAAAACTATTATAAACTCTAGGCTGTTTCTTCTTTTTCTGCTTCTTGCTTCTCATCATTTTCAGGTGTTGCAGGAGCTGCTGTTTCATCTTGGTATTCATTTGTTGCATTGCTCGATGGAACTGTGGTCACAGGAATGTTTTCTTCATTGGGTACCTGAACATAGTCTGCATTGGATTGTTTCTGAACCATTTCTCTGCAGAAAGACAGGATTAGGATTGTGATCTCACATACTGAAATCCCATGTACTAGAATCTTTCAAAATAATGAATCTTTGTATTTGCTATCTGAACTGATGTTATGGTGACTGTTTGAAGATTGTGTGAAAAGGTTACAGCACCACTGGTCTGAGACAGAAAGACTGACGGCATATTAGCCAGAAAGACATCTGCATTGCTTGTTTAAGTGATCCCATTAGAATAAAATACATTTTAGTATGTTTAAATGTTGTGCCAGGGAAGTGGAAAGGGAAACTGAGTGCTGGCAGCATCTGAGGTGTGATAGCAAAACCTGCTGCTTCATGTGAGCTTTCTGGGAAATTCCATCTGGGGGCCCATTGAAGGGCATGAAAAATAGAGTTCAGTTAGAAAAGAATTTTGAAAAGACTGAAATCTGGAAAAGTCATATAAAATATATTTAGTATTTTAGAAAATATGGAAACCTAGAAAAATATTTTTAATAACATTTAGTAAAAATATTTTTATCTTATCAAAACAATAATCAACCAACTCCTTATACTGAAGCACTTTCACATGGTAAAAAATATCAGATGCTAGTGGATTCATTCAATGGAGTAAGATTTATTAGGATCCAAGTACAAAACTAGGTGTTAATGCTGCATCAATTGAAAGCTGAAATCAGGGGCATGAGCGACTGATCACTGGTCTGGGTTAGCAGAATTCCATATTAGGAAGTCTTAAACCTGTGCTACAGAGAAGTCACAGTTTTTTTCTGGCCTCAACTGTATGTAGTTATTTAGCATTTTACATCAATGGGCTAAGTACAGTCTACATAGTGCATGAGATTATCCCTATTCTGAAGATTTGGCAATTACAGGGAAAAATGAGCAACCAAAGCACATAGAAGAAAACATCTCCAGGACAGGATCAAAATGGACATTCTGGGCTCCATTCTCTTGTCTAAACCTTGAGTTTCCTGCAATCTGAGATGCCTGGGAGTATCCCAAGTGTGTGTCCTGTAATTTCAGATAGCACTGACCTGAGCCCTCTGTGTTTAAATATTAATAAATTTCCTGAGGTGACCCTTAGCTGCTCTTTCTTTTTTTACTTCCTCCACCTGCTTTTAACAGACCCCATTAACTTTAACTCTAAAGAGCTGTTTTTATAACTTGCCACTTTAGTTTGTGTTGTTTAAAAACATTTACTTTGCTGTTTCAGGTGCTGCTAAGTGGAAGCTGCCTGTTAAAATAGGGAAGAGGGCAATGGCACCTTCTGTTAAAAGAGCAACAGGTAAAAATCCCCCAAAAGCAGATGTTCACTCCAGAAGTTTTCTCAAAATTTGTATTATGCATTTCACTTTAGTTCTTTATAGCAGTGCTTTACAAAAATAATTGTCTTAAAATGAAGTAGACAGAAATTCTTACTGCATCTCATTATTTGCTGACTTCCTATTTTTTGCCTTCTTGGTTAAGACCCAGACAATAATGCAGATTATAGCAGCTGCCAGAATTGCTCCAATCAGTGCTCCAGCAACAATACCACCATCTGAATCTGCAAAGAAAAAAAAAATTACTTTACTTTTTATAAAGTAGTAGTATAGCAAAATCCCATGGAAGTTTAGTGCAGGAGCCTTTAGCAGAAAGAAGGGATTGGATTCAAAGAACTCTGTGCAGGAGGGTGGCCAAGGATGCTCCAGGAAAGTGAGAGCCCTGTGCTTGGGTGGTTTTTTACTGTCTCCTCTCTCACTGGGTAGCTCCCCATCCCAACAAACTCCCTGTTTGTGCCTGGATAAGGGAATTATTGGGCTGTAATACTGACAACAGGTAAAAGCCTTTGCTTTTCAATCATTGCAAACACATCCTGAAATCCAGGCTGCCTTTAGTTCTGTCTTTCAGCTAGTGGTCACATCTCCAGTGCCCTGGTCCTTGCACAGCCACATTTCACTGATGGTTGTAATTTCTGGGGTGGGGAGACCTCAGTGGGGCTGTTGGCTGGAAGAAACTGCTCAAAACTCCTCGTCTGTCTGTTCTCAGCAAAGACTCTGCAGTCAGAACCAGGTCCAGCTCCTGCTCCTTGCAGGAAATTAAGGTGAGGATGTTAAATCAGATTTCTAGGTCATCATAAATCCTGGGCAGGCCTGGATGAAAAGTCCAGAGCTCTCCAAATCCTGTTCTGTTCTTACTTGAAAAAAAACAAAAAACAAAAAAACCCTAAGCTTCAAAGTTGTTGAAGAATTTTCCTGCAAGCTGTGCATGTCCTCCATCAAAGGTGTGATTGCTTTGGTGTGTTTTACTCACGTTTTGCTGTTAGGTCCAGCTCACAGGTGCTGTTCCCCAGCTGGTTGCTGGCTATGCACCGATAGTAGCCAGTTTCAAAGGTGGTGAGGTTGCCAATGTAAAGGATGCCAGAGTTTGGATCTGTGACAAGTGGAGAGCAGGTACACATTATTGTTTTTATTCTGTAGAGGCACACAGTTCTGTGTAGTGGGTAACAAAGAGCTATTCAGATATTAGAAAAAGGGATCAGCAATTATTGATTTATTCGTGTGTTTTTTAATATTCTTTAAAATAAAATATTTACCTTCCTTGAAAATTGCTCCAGTGGATTCTTTAGGGGTGTATTAGAAGCCCCTACTCTGCCAGCCAGTCTGGCTGGTGTTTTACCCAGACGGATTCTGTGGTTGTCTGTGTAACTCCACAAATGAAAATGTAACAGGTCCAGAAAATTTCTGGGAGGGAAGGATGTGCTAGTACTTGAATGAGAAATTGATTCAACTCAAATTCATTCAAGGTTTCAAGGGAAGAGAGATGTAAAGGCATACATATTTCTCTAATTTTAACAATTTAAAGGCATGGACAGGACTTCAACTTTTTTTTTTTAATATATTAAATAGAAAAAGCATCCTGTGGTTTTGACAGCTGTCAGTTGATTTGAATAAGTAAAAATATGATCCTGTGACATTGACTATTGGAAGAGGAGGATTAATTTTAATTAGCCTGTGTGATACACAGCATTTGGAATGCTGGAATTTCAGATCCTGAACATGGTGTGTTAGTCCTGTGGTTACATACCAAGTTGTTCTCTCACAGGCTTGAGGGTGTTCTCATCGACCTTGTACCAGCGGTAGGTGGGGCGAGGCAACCCCTCTTCACAGTTGCATAGGAGGTAGATCAGATGGCCTTTCTCAGGGGTTCCTTCTACTTTGCAGAAAGGTTTTGATGGTTTGACTGCAAAATAAGAACAGACACATCACAAGTGAACATCTGGGCTGCAAACTTCCACCTCAAGTTCTGGTACCAAGCTGCTGTGAGCAAAGAGCTGAACCCCATCTACAAGTTTCCATCCAAGAGCAGAGTCTCAGTTATGGAACTGACCAAAGCCTCTCCCATTAAAAAAATTGAGTAATATTAAATATATGTACATGGCCTAGGATACAGTTTTATTATCTTTCATTTGCATATTAACTGTTAGGAAGGTGTTAAGACTACAACTATCAATTATTTTCACTCACTACTACTCACAATTCACCGTACACCATTCTGCCACATAGCAACATCATTTTATTTAGAGATATGGCAGGAGCTTTTCCACAGAGAGGGAAAGGATCAAGGCCTGACAGTTTCAGTATTTTAACAGTTGTGAAGGAAATAAATCAGCTATAGTTCTGTTAAAAAATGTATCCATTTTTATATAATGTCCTCATTTTGCACAAAAAGGAAGATTCTGTCTTCACTTACACCAATTGTTTTTCATTTCCTACTCCAGAAATGCTTTTGTGGTTCTTTAGAGTGCTGTCAAGGGAAACCACCAGCAATGAAAGTAGCCCAAACCAACAACTTTTCTTGGTTTTCATGTAAAAAGTGTAATCTTTTATTCAACTGCTCCAAGATTTACTATTTATTTTGGGAATTTTAGATGAGAATTATGAGTAGTACTTTGGTTTTTCAGGAAATCAGTTGACACATTTTTTGCTTATCCCTGGAAGATAGGCAAGTGATGCCAAGTTCATCTGCTTTTCATCCTTTCTGCTCTGCCTGTTCATGGTTGAATTATTGCTTTCTTTCACACAAAACAAACTTTGTACTAATTTAATCCAATAAGTTTCTAGAGGTTTTGGGAATTGATGTGAGTCAGAACTCTTGGGCTGTGCTGCTGCCTCTCCCTACATTTGTGCAAGTCACCATGATCAACATTAGGTAGAATTAGCAAAGTTTTGGACCGTGCTGGGGCTGCATGAAGTAGTTTCAGTGAGAAGTTGTCACTCCCAGCTAAAATGGTGTTTTATTTTAACCAAAACTAGCATCACTTTGATTTCCAGTATGAAAAATGGAGCAAAGCTGGGTAATTCTAGCCACCCTCTTACCTGCTTACAGAAGGGAACTTTTGGAGAGCACAAAGGGACTCTGAAGGGCAGTGTTGGGAGAGCGAGGTTTGCTGCAGCTGAGGCAGAGCAGCTGAGCAGTGGGAGCAGGTGAGCTGTGGCTGGAAGCTAGAGGGCAGCCAGGCTCTGCTGCCTCCAGAGCCCTTGGAAACTGCAGCAGTGACTCAGGGAGCTCCCTCTGCATCATGGGCCTTGTTTACCACAGCCTCTTATTCCCTCTGGCCCTGCGTACTTGGAGCTGTGAGTTCAGTGTTTCATAATATGGGATGGAAAAGACAATACAGCAATAGAGAGGGGAGGCACTTACCCAGCACATTGACAACCACAGATTTTTGACTCTGTCCAGCATCACCCTGAGGGCTGAAAACTTCACAGGTGTAGGAACCAGTGTCTGAGGGCTGCATGTTGGAAATTGTTATTGATGCATTCCCTGGACTTGTTGAAGCTGTTATCCTGTTCTTAAATGCTCCATAGGAGTAAGACTGGCCCCCTGAATAATAATAGATCTGTGATAAAGAAACAATTGTTAGTTTAATAACAAAAGATCTTCTTGCTGCTTTGTTTGGTACTCAGAATATATTTGATTTCTGATTACAGCCAAGCAATGTCACCCCCTTTCTTGCCTCCTCCCCCAAGAAAGCAGAAATGAAAACATAGTACATTTGAATGCATACTTCTAAAGGTCCTTAAAAAACAAGATTTTCAGAAATGGTATTTTAGTTGTGTAATTGACAGAGGCTAAATCTTTGTGGATACTCCAGGCACAGACTGATGCAATTGCAAAAACAAAAGCGAGACCATTGAACATCAAATGACAATTTTATGAAAAAATGCTAAGTCATGCACAGGGAATAATGGTATTAAGTGAAGCACTGATAATTTGTGATAGCATTTAATAAGCAGCTCAGTAAAAGATTATGACAAGGATGGACCTGTCATTGGTAAAAATGGGTGGCTGCAGAGCTTTCCAGATACAGAATCTGGAAAGGATTCTGTAAAATTCCACAATCAGAGGACTGAAATGAATTCACAAGACAAAGGTCTAAGTAAACAAGGCACCTGATCTTTTGGCAGTAAATTTGAAAGCCATGAGGATGCAGTACAAGAACAGAGCAGAGTCATCACACATGCAATTATAGCAGCCATGCTGTTCTTGTTTGTGTCATCAGCTTTGGAGGCAGTGTCATGGACTATCTTTGCTTTTGGAATTTATATCAGGGAGGAAGTAAAGAACACCTGCTGGCCTCAGTGCTTGGGGAGTTCCGATTTGGAATCAAGAAGTTCCCCTTTTACTAAATAGTAAAAAAATGGTTTGCCAAATGATAGGCATAGTAAGGATAAATGTTTCTAAGGTATGCAGCATTTCCTCCCAAATAAAAATTGCTGATTTAACATTGACTGATTTCACTGACTTCAGTAGCATCAATTGCCCTTAGCAGCATTGTGGAGTAGAAGTGGCCTCATAGGCCCAAACTTGCTGTCTGCTGAGGGAGAGGAGAGGTAGAATTGTGCTCACTGCCAAGCCTGGATGGCAATCTGAGCCTTGGGCCCTGAATCTCTTTAGGAACTGCAATATCTCATCTGCTCTGGGGTAAGTGTAGTAGTTCTCAAAGAGTACCTGCCCTCTGTCCAAGCTAACTCTGCTCTGAAACCAAGATCTGAAAGAACAAAGATGTGGAAAACTACAATTCATTACAATTTCTGAGGTGTTAATGATAGTGTTGTATAAAAGTGACAGTATTTGGGTAGGCAATATGTTCCCCTGTGTCTACATACACACACCCTAGGCAAAGTGAACACTTCCAGCACAGTCAGTCACTTCTCTAAACTTGTGAGAGGTGTCCATATAGAATTATAGGTTGTGACCCAAATAGATCTAACATTGTTCCTACTGGCAGTATTTCAGAATCATCACTGAAGTTGAAGTAACAGCATGTTTTTAATGGAAATATTGGGAAAATGCTTGTAGGAAAAAGTTTCACTGACTCCTCTTCACAGGCCATTCTCACTTGACTGGTATCAAAATTTCCTTTTGGTCAAAGTTCCCTGCCTTTTAGGGATACTGCAGATCCCTGGTGAGAAGTACAATTTGCTTTACTTCACAGATCAACTGATTGCATTTTGAATTAAGAATATTAATTCTTAATTCTGTTTATCCTCCCTGATACGGTGTTGACTGAAGTCTTTAAGAAATGTTATCTAAAAGCCTTTATTAGCTTAAAGCAAGGTACACTCCAAAACTGTCAGAGCACAGCAGGTTTATGCAAAGATATGGCTTTGGAATGAAGGTCAGAATCAGCTTGCACAGCACCAGCAGCTCCAGGGCTGCAGCTTGGCCCTCTCTCAAGAGCAGCTTTGCACACTCCTCAGCCAGACTTTATCTTTCCCTGCCCCAGGATTACAAACACCAGGTACAATTGAGGCAAGGCTCTGAACACCAAAGCATTCCCAAGGTGTGGAACACTGCTGGCACACTGGGGAAGTGTAAGAGGTCCAGGGTCAGCTCGATGACAGACCTGGTTAGAAAGTGCTGAAGCTGGATACTGCTCCCGTTTTCCATTGTATGCATGCAACACCATCAGTTTTAAAACTGATTTTGTGCTTTGCAAATATCTAGAGATGGAACTCTGCTGCCAAACCAGAGTCTGGATGGACAAACTATATTCCCTGGGTTAGGAGAGTGTTCAAAATAGTTTGGTTTAAACAAATCACTCATCAAAAAAGTTGTCTACCTGGAATCAAAAAACACACTGGGCCACATTAGTCTCATTCTACATTTATCTGAATGTGAGCAATAGCTGAGTATTATTTATCACTGTTCTTGCAAAAGTCTGAAGTTACAAGAACTGTGACTTCTGACTTCAGCCTCTTCTGAGGCTGATGTTCCTGGATAGCTCTCAAAGTGATGGGCTGGATTTCCATCTCCTCTCCAGCTGCACTCTTGGAGTAGGGCAGTGAAAAGGGTTCCATCAGCTCCTTACACTAATGTGAAATTTAGCTCTACAATTATTTAAGTGAAGTAATGTGTGTCTTGCTGCAGCATGAGAGGAGTGTCAGGCCCATCATACCCTATTAAAGGCTTGGTTGTTGGACAGAGGGGCTAAATTCTTCTCAATCTACCTCAGAGTGATCTGGAATTATGTGAGAGTAAAGAGTAGCAGAAGGGGTCCATGGAATGCTCATCTAGACAGCCCATCTTCCTGGGAATAAGACTGGCACTGCAAGTTGTAAATGCAGTTGGGGCATGCCAGTAAACCCTGCAGAGGAGCAAGTGCTCCTTGGTGTATTTGACCTGCAGTCAGGGTGAGTTACATGCTCAAGTCCTCATACAATGCACTGCAAAACTAATCCCTGTGTTCTCTCTTTCTGAGTCAATAAATTCAGAGAAAATATTTTGTGTATGCTGTTCAATCTGAGGCAGGTGTCAGCGCAGCAGAGATTATTTCTTCTCTTCATAGATTCAAACAGGATTTCTTACTGGGTCACTTTTTGTCAGCCATGAACATAAAGCAGTGAAACACTCTCAGGCAATATGTTCAGCTCCTCTGCAGGCTCCTGCCTGTTCTCTGTTCTCTCCTGTTCCCTGCTTATCTCCCTGGCTCTGGAGTTCATTGCCTGAAGGAAGGTGGTAAACACCAAAAAGGCTGAAAAATGTTCTGATTAATTGCTGAGTGTATCTCTTGTCCCAGAGGTATGATTGGACTGTGTACACAGGAAATTTCATTTAAGAGGAATATGTTTCAGTTAATTGGCTGTGAATTCATAGTCCATTTTAAACAATACACTCAAAATGGATATTTTAAACCCCGGTTCAAAGTGGTTTTATGCTGTCCTTGAAAAGCTGGTTTGTGGCTTTCAGAAAACTGAAATGAAAATCTTTGCAAAAGTGTTTCTGTTTTGATTCAAAAGTAAAAAAAAATGTTTCCTCTTGAAGTTATGGAAAACATTCTGGTTTTGGGCGACTGCCAGCTAATGTTTTCTCCTACAGACATACATCATTGACTTTTCTTTCCATATTATCTAAAATGTATGTATGGGAAAACTGTATATTTAGGCAATGGTAGACTTCTTCTGGAAACCTTTTTAATCTTGTGTGATAAATATATTTTAAGTGCATCATCTTGAATGCAAAAAATACAAAAGAAATCTGCTATGCTTCCCTTCAAACAAGCTTTTCATGTCCTCTAGCAAATCATGAGCAGCTGTAGTGAAGTTGATGATTTACCAGAGCAGAAACAATATTGAGGGCGCATTAATGGTTGCTGCTTCTCCTAACCAGCGAGTTTGTTCAGGCAAGTTATCATAAAATGGTGCCTTTTCACATTTCCTGGAAGCAGCTGCCTGGGTGACTAATCAAACAACTCACAGAAGGAGGAGTGGAGATTATCACTTCTAAAACTGTTGTCCCTAATAACTTCACACTCTGAGACACTGGTTCCTGCTGAACAGCACAGTTGCCCATCTGTGACCTTAGAAAGGTCTGCAGTTTAGTTGGTTGTTCAACCTGTGGCCAGGCAGTGCCAGAGCTGCTGCCCAGCCATCCTAACCAGGGCTCTGGTTACCCTTCATGTCCACAGGCAGTTTGGACATGAAACTGTGATGATGTGGAATATATCTGCCTGCAGAGATAGCAGTCTGAGGAGCTGAGGACTTTGAAAAGCTGCCAGATGTTCATCAGGGTGTGAGGAACCCACCTACAGGTTTTTGTTGTACAACTTCCGTAGAAAAATCTTCCTTAGGGTGTGAAGGGAGTGTGTGGAGAAGCAGGCTGGAAATTAGAAGAAACATGCCTCTCTCTGCTTCTCTTGTTCTTTTGGCAGGACAAATATATACTAGAATTTGTGTAAATATGTGTCTTTCAGATGGCTTTGGATGGACTCCTTCAAAATTTCCAGGTCAACACTCCTCCCTCCTCCCATCCCCATCTCCTGGAATCTCTGCATCACAATGCTCTACATGCCCAGTACTTATGGATATCAGAGTTATGAGATGCACTTAGAGAGGCATTAAATGTGTCCTGCTAATCTCCACAGAATCCTGATTTCCTGACTGGAGGACATTTTCAGGACATGACCTCTTTTCCAGTACCTGTCTTTCCTCCCCCAGCCTCTTCTCCCCTTCCACCACATGTGAAGCTCTAGGATCCTGTTGGATGATGTTTTTCTGATGGATTCAGTGTGTGACTCAGTCTTTGCCTGGAGAGCTGGAAAGCTCCAGCATCCAGAGGGCCCTGTCATTGGGCTGTCATTTTCTGTTTGACATTTTCTCAAGCTACTAGAAAATGGAGGATATTAAGAATTTCACTTGTTTGAGATTGTGATCTCTTTTTGAATTCTGAGGACAGACAGAATTTATAAAATAACAAGGGGGAAAATGTTCATCACTTCCTTAAGCATCTTACCATCTAAGGAGAGAACAAGTACCACACAGTCAGTGTTAATGAAGGCCCGAAGCTCAGGTTCTGAGCTCAGCTAGCTAAGAAAGCAAATGTTCACACATGTGTTGGTTTCTTTGACACATCACATGACTGAGTCTGGGCCCAAATCTCTTCTTTCATCCACAGCTTCTTTTCACACATTTTTGTCAAAACTCTGATCTGCCAGAAGGTAGCAGGGATATCACAGGGATATCCCTTACTGGGCTTTTTGCACAGGGAATTGGAGGTATTAATAATGACAAGTGTCTTGTCACAATAGTGCACTGGTAGAAGAAGAAAGGAAGGGAGTCAGAAACCTTTAGAGAATTAATAATTCAGCAGCTTTAACTGATGCAAATGTATTGAAGGAGCAGCTCTTTCAGGTTCTTACAGTATCATTCTTGTGGCTGAATTTTTAGTGAGTAATTCCCACCAAGAACAAATGTGTTTTCTCAGTGCATTTGGTGTAACTGCTCTTCAGCAGTTATTATTAGATGTCAGTTCACATTAGGCTGTACCCTGTACTCCATGGTGAGATGGGAACCCTGCTGCAGTCACAAAGTTTGGAATGGATTAGGGCTGGAACACTGAGCTGACAGCAGAGAGGAAGCTGGTTCAGCTCAGTGTCCTTGGTATCCACCACATCTCAAAATGGTTTTATATTCTAGGAAGGAGATCCAGGATGATTTTTTTTTCTATGTAAATATGTAGCCCCAAGTTTGGGCTGCCCAGTCTGGCTCACATTCAGCCCAGAGGATCCTTGTGGGTGCACACACCCTACAGATACCCTTTGGGTAGAATATTCCTGAAGGTGCCAGTTCAGCCACCTGGAATAGGTGGGGAGGAAAAACCCCAACACAAAACCTACATCCAAAATAATTTTGACAGAAAAAATGCAATAAAAAATAGGGTGAGTTAAAAATTCTGGATCATGCATCCAATTCAACTTATTTCAGTCATGTGCAGCTTTTCAGATTTCAATACAGAATATGGATACAGGTTTCACAGTAGCACACATCTAGTAGAAGCTATTTAGCTCTGTTTCCCCCTTAAGATTATGGGGATTGTTTTCTTACCTTGTATCTCCAGCTACATCTTCCCCGTGCATCTGTCACATACACCGTCTTTTGACAAAGACTGACTGACTTTTCATCCATACTCAGAATACCATGGCATGGGGAATGCTGCATTTGAGTAAAAATGTGCTGATCTGAGAGTTAAATGAGACTTTAAATGTTCCCCCAAAATCAAAGAGCCATTTCTCACACAGCTCCCCACCTACCATCCGTGCTGATCACGAGGGCAGGGTGCCTCGTGTTCAGTGCTTTGTGCAGAAAGTACCTCAGGCCTTGTCAGCCACAAGGTGAAACCAGCTTATTCCTAAATTCTACCTAAAATTAGGCACACTAAGATTAAAGTCTAATGTTTGCTACAAACACCCCAGTTACAGCCTGATTATTTTCTTCTTGTCTGCACTTTGTGATAGCCACAGGCAGTGCCCATGGTCCCAGTGACACCCAGAGTCACTCCAATGGCAGTGACACATGTCCCGTGGCCCCACTGACACCCAGACTCACTCCAATGGCAGTGACATGTGTCCCATGGTCCCAGTGACACCCAGAGTCACTCCAATGGCAGTGACAAACACCAGCAGCTCCATCCCTCTGCTCTGCAGGTGCTGTCTCTGCTCCCCATGGAGCTGCTCCTTACAGTGCCTGCTCAGCCATCCAAGTGCTAGATAAAACTCAGTTCTAAACAATCAGCTCTAGGCAAAAGGAGATGCTTATGGATGAGAGAGGCCCTTTTTTTCCAGGAAGATTTCCTGCACTGCCTCAGGAGGTGCTCCCCACAGCTCATCTTTCTCATGGGCTGGGAAGGACTGCTCTGCTCCCAGGCTGGTGTCCCCTGCAGCACTGACAGCTCTGCAGGAGCATCTCAGGTGTCTTGTGGCTCAAAGTGTGTGAAGGTGTCCTCTGAACTGCTCAGCCTACATGGAGGGGAATTTGTTCTTTCAGAGGCTTTGATGGAAACACCCACAAACAGGGCTGGCCCTTCTCTGCCTCTCACCTGGGATGGCCCAGTGCCCATGGCTGTGCCTTGCCTTGTGCGGGGCAGCTGAGTTGTGCTGCTGTTGGGACTTCTGATCATCTGAATTTGGGGTGTCAGGGTGGAAGGAGCTGACACATCTGTGCTCAGGTCACTTTTCTTGTCTTTCCTCCTTTGGGCTTCCCCTCCTTGTCCCCTGTTGCTGACTAATGTGCCACAAGTTCATGTTGTTTGGAGAAGATTTTCATAAGAAGTCTCTCAATAATTCTGTTTTGCATAAAAGTAACAGGCATCCATGACCTTTACTCATATAGTGAATTTAAAATTTCAATCAAGAATCCTGCTGTGGGCACATCTTGGTTGGCCAGGCAGTGTCCCTGAGCATTTCAGTGACTTCAGCTGTAGGTGGCCTGGGCTGAGGCTCAAGGTGTGGCCCAGGCTGGGTTCAGGAGCTGGATTTGGCTTTGCAAGGCTGCAGCCTCGCCTGTGAAGAGTCAACAGAGGCTTCAGCTTGCAAACATTTACTTAGGTGCTTTACACAGGGGCCAGCCAGGTGACTCAGAGCATGAAATGAAGCACAGATGTAGGTCTGAGCAGGAGCTGGGCTTTGCCTTATGAACCAGGCCAGGCTGTGCTGGACCCTGGGTGAGCAGAGCAGTGTTAGCCTCAGTTTGTGGAGATGTAAAATAGAGATCACTCAGTGCTGGAAAGTTCTCAAGATCCTTGGCTGGGAGTTTTTATTTCAAACTTAAATGCAGCATTAAAGGGCATATTGCAAAGGGCTAAATGGGAAAAATAAAAAGTTAAAAATATGTATGGCATCCTATTTTCCATGATTTTATACTTACATTATTAAGTTCAAGTGAGGGAAATTACTTCTCCTAGAGAAACGTCTCAGGAAAAGAGCAGAGTTAGGCTCATTTGGTAAAAAGTTTATGTTTACCCACTAAAGCTGTGCTGTCTTCAAAGGAGTGCTGTGAACACCTGGCTCTGTTTGCTCGCCTGAGCAGCCTGGCTGTGGTGGCTCCTCCCTGCCCCTGGTGTAACTGCCAGGCTGGAGCTGGGACACCTGTGGCAGCCCTGGGGAGGGGGGACAGGGCAGGACAGGGCAGGAAAACACCACAACATGGGAAATACCACAACATGCAGGGCATGGAAACATCACAGCAAGCAGGGGATGGAAAAAAACACCACAGCAAGGAGGGGATGGAAACACCACAGCCAACAGGGCAGGGGAATACCACAGCAAGCAGGGGATGGAAATGCCACAACAAGCAGCAAAAGACAAAACCAACCTCACCAAGGCAGTGCTGGGAGGCAGATCTGCATCAGTAGCAGGGCTGCAAAGTAAAGAAAAGCACAGCCTGCCCTTGTGGCAAGGTAAAACCTGCTGCTGAGTACTTAGGGACATTAAATTAACACTGGCACTAGTCCTGCTCCTGGCATTGCTGATTTCACTCACTGGTTTCACCTGATCTTATGGATCTCAAAACACTGCAAAATCTGGACTGTAAATGGCAGTGTAAAGGGGTACCTATGGCCTCTGCTTTTTATATGTTATGTCCTAAAATCTGGTAATTGAACCCTCTCATTCATTAATGCTTAAAGCCAAAAGCTCCTTAGTGGTATAAATTTGCCTTAATTATATATAACGTTTATAAATGTATATAATGTTTACAGCTTGCTCTGTTACTTGTTGCCACTCTAGAGAGAAAGAGCCATGTTCTCATATATGTTTAATAAATAAACAGTATTTATTGAAATCAATAATTTTTTCCACAAGTATTTGTTATAGAGAATATCTTCTCTGCTTAATCTTATTATTTTCAGTGCCTGTGTGAATAACATGGTCATCAAGACATCTAGCATTTAGTAAGAGGTCAGAAATATTTTAAAATTTAGTAGGTGGGAAAAGATGTATTTTCTGTAATTTTTTACAAAACTTCCTAGTCTCCTGTCTTCAAAGTATTTGGCAGAATTTTCCAATAGTCAAAAATGGAATTTGAAAATGTTATCCAATTAATTGCTGAAAAAAAAGGGCAAATTTTTTAGTAGAGCCAGAATTTTCAACAAATTTTTCAGGGCAAATATATGCTATTTACAAGGAAATGTTTGGTATTTTGTTATGGATCTGTTAGAAGAATATAAATATCTCATAAAATTAAATAATTTTATTCCAGTTAAAATTCAACCATAATTTTATTCCAGTTAAAATTCAAACCATACTATTGTTCTGGTATTCAGTAAGGTATGGTGCCTGTCTTTCCAATATGGTTTTGTTTGTCCTTTTACCATATTAAATATATTTTTGCATTGCATATTAGTATTGTTTTACCTAAACAATGAAAGCCAAAGCTGGCAATCTCCTCCATTTTCATGCATATGTTTCCTACTTGGAACAAAATGTGAAACTCAATTCAGCAATGTGCCAAGCCACCAGGGCAGAGCCAGGTTTGTAGAGAGATTATCTTTTTGTTTAAACTTGTGAGAGGAAAACATGCAGGCTTTCAGGCTCCCAGTCCTTTCTGAAACTCAGCCTGAAATAGAAATATCAGCCTCATTCAGAGGGAGGGTAAAAATCCAACTTTATGTTCAGCTGTGTGGTGTGATTTCCTAAACCATATTTTCCACAAGCAGTCACAAGCCTTTCTTCCCAGTGTTTGCCTTAACACCATTAATTTTATTGTGAATAGGTTGAAAATGGTAAGGAATTGCCAGGTGGTGGTGAAAGGATACAGAGTCAATGACCAAGACTGAATGGGTTGCTGAAAGCGTTTTAAAAAGAGCAGTGCCGAGTCCTGCAGCCTCCAGGGACAGCAGCAGGACCCAGGGAGCAAAGGAACCCTCAGAGCCTCCCTGCCAGCCCAGGAGAGCAGCAGGGACAGGGGATTGTGCCTTGCTGTTCAAGGAGAGGGGGATTAGCACTAACCCAGGGCCTTTCCACACTGAACTGACTTCATGGAATGAAAATGCAAATCACCCATCGCAAGCACAGCCATCCAAATGTGTGAATTTGCCGTGAAATGAGTTTCAGATGGGGGAATCCTGCTGCAATTTTCCCCAGCAGTGCTTCCCATGGACCTTTATAGACACATCTTTCCCTGTGCCTGCAGTGAGAGCTGCGGGAGCCAGGAGGGAGCACTGGGGGGAATGATCCATAAAGTTTCCCTGTCATCTGGTAGTCTTGCATTGGGTAGTTCTTGTTGAGTGTATTCTGAACCACCCACAGTATTTTATGATTGTAATTTTCAGGGGGTATTTTTCTCATCATTAGCCACAGTTTACAAATTATTTTCCCCTCCTGGATCTCTTGAAAGTGTGTGATTCTCCCTCTAAAATACTTATAACTTATAATACTTAAATCTGCTTATTTCTCTTGATTGTGACCAGAAAAAAATATGGCATTTAGTGTGTTGCAATATGGAAAATTTGATGCAAGTAGAACAGAAAGTCTCTAACCAAACCTGGATGAGATGAGCTTGATTCTATGTCAGTGCTGTACTTCCCACCTGAACAAGCAGTTATAATTTAAGATGTAACATACTGGATCAAAATTATAATATATTGTACTATACACAACTTAGGAAAACTGTAGCTACCACCCTTTCAGGAATAATTCTTCATTTAATAAAATAGTTTTAACTTGAGGAAAGCAAACAATGAGTAACAACTACTCAGCTACACAATCAGCCAAGGTGTGCCTACATCAGTCTTTCATCCAGCTAGAGTCAGAATTTGGGATGGGCCCAGGGTTTGTGCTTAGCACTGATACAGGTTTATCTGTGGCTGTGATATACTGCAGGTGAGTGAGCAGCTCTGTCTTGGGTTAAATTGCTATTTCTTACATTTTGACTATTGCTGTTCAATGCCAAATGCATTACAACCTGCACATTCTGCAAATTGCAGGCTAATTCTGCTGTAATTGATAAAACAAATGGAAGGTACAGCTGTATCAGCAATGGCAAGGCTCCTACTGAAATATTATTAGGAAATAATAATGAACAGGACAAAAATATCCTGAGTGTGGACTGTGACACTCTGAGTCAAATCTCTTTACATCAACTCTCAGCTGTAACACCAGGCAGGAGGATTGAATGACCAGAAAAAAAAATATGTTGGCAACAGGATAAAAACAATGGGAAATTATTGTTCCACAAGCACAAGCCAGGGCATGGAAAAGGAATCCAAATAATCTTCAAGGATTCAGCAACACTTCTAATCAGGATTTCTTCTTCTAAAAGAATGTGTTGCTGACTGCTCACCACCTGTTAGGACTGAGCTGATGGGAGCTCATACCCTGTGTTATGCTGGGAATGAAATTCATGGGTTCATTTCCCCACCAAAACATAAGATTAACAGATAGTTCTTGAGGTTTGGGCAGCAGTGGGAGTACCTATAGGCAGATGCCATCCCTGGCCCCTTTGGGGCAGACCAAGCTGCTCTGCAAGCTCCTTACAGCCACACGAGAGGCTCAGGCTCAGACCAAGTCACTGCTGGCATTGGTGTCCTTCCCAATCCCCTCCATGCTGACCCTCCAGCCTGCACCACAGTCCCATTGTCCCCCAGAGTGTGATATTGTTTGGCTGTGCTTTTGGGGTCTCAGGAAGGGCAGGGCCCATTTGCCCTTGACCTGTAATTGTTCTGTTTCCACAGTGACAGCCATGGGATGCTGGGAAATACCAATGCAAGTCTGAGTGGCAAATTTCCTGCTATGACAACTTTCTGCAGAGTGCTGCCAACACTTGCTGCTCAATTTATTCACAGCCCACCATCGTGCACAGCTCCTCTCACTGAGCTGCCAAAAGGCAGGGCCTGATCAAGGAGCTCTCATTTGACCCTTAAATGGGGAACAACACATTGTCATAGGCAAGGGCGTCTCACCAGGAAAGCAGCTTTCACAATGGCAGGAAATATCTGCCAGACAAGAGAAAAGGGAGCTGGTTCAAGAGCTGCAGCCCTTGTGTGATTTTTGGACACCTGGTCTTTGCTTCATATTTCCTTTGTGACTTGGAGCAAGTTGTTTGAGTATCTGAATCGCTTTTGTACTTTCTCATCACTTTGTGAAGGCAGTCAGGCATGTCAGTGGGAGCTAGGAGCCTAGATAGTTCATCTGCCCCTAAATTTCACTGCACCCCAGTCCTTAATTTCTAGTTAGGAACCTCAACATTACCTGGTCTGTAGTAAGGATAATCCCATCAAACATAACAAGACCTTTTAAGGACTTAAGGGTATCTCAAATATCATTTCATAGTAATAACAAACAAATGTCTTACGGTATGCAGCTGGCTCTCTTTGGCACTGTAAAAACTCCACTGAATAAAGAAATTTCCCAGGGTTCCAGGACTGGTGTATGTGCAGAGGAGGGTTGCATTTCCACCTGTAGTGACATTCACTGTCTTCTCAGGGACTGTCACCACGACCCCGCTGGTGTGGCCTGTGGGCAGGAGAGTGGAGAGATCAACTGGGGCTGCCTGGGAGCCATGCAGCAATTATTGCTCCTGTGTTATTGAACAAACTCTAGCATGGATCTGGCTGTTCTCCTTTTCAGTACAGCTTCCCTTTTGCTTTGTGTGGAAATTTCAGAGATAACAAGCTGGAACTGGGTAAAAGCTAGCAAGCAACTTAATCCCCCAGAATGTTCTTGCCCTTACAACAAATAACATTCTTAAAAAGCAGAGTTCCTAAACCCCTGCTTGTTCTCACTGGCTGATACTCATCTTCTCAGTAAGAGTCTGCGGTTAAACTGAAGATTTTGTCTGCACTCACAGTGCTCTCCTGTGCTTGCACTTGCATTTACAGCTGTGTCTACCCCTTTCACACACCTTTCTTGCCCTTTGCATTCTCATTCACATGTGTCTACCCCTCTCTTACACCCTTCTTGCCCTTTTTGGTTTTTTTGCAGTTATTTCATTAGATATCTGGTCTCCTCCACTGTGGAGCATCATCACCTCCAGTATTCTCACTCCATCACCCTTATGTCCTGACTGGGATTCGGTGGCACTGTTAGATCCCTCAGTCTGGAGTCCAGCAGCTTTTCTCTGCTTTTCTTTGCCAATTACTTTGGTTTTGTTTAGGTTTCTAAGAGTTTACCTCCAGAAGCTGTTTTTTTTTTCCCAATGCTATTACGTTGGAAAATCAAACTAAACATTTTGGAAGTGTTTTTACTGTGTGGGTTGTAGGGAGTTCTTTGGTAACTCAATCAACCCTTTCTGTTGAGCTCAGAGCAGAAGGGGAGCAAACACAACTTGTGAGCCCTTCCCACAGTGCTCTGATCAGCCTTGACTACACAATCACAGTAATGAAAGGAATCCAGCACCACCTCACAGTATTTATCTGTTTCTATCCTCTGTGAATTACGAGCCATGATGACACATGACAGCACAGAGAGAGCTGTCAGAAAAATAAGCCTGAATTTCAGGTTATTGAGTCCAGTTTGAAAGCTAATGTCTATAGATTCAGACTGAGAATGTTTTTCTTTTCAATGGGATTGAAAACATTAAACATTTTGAGGTTTCTATGCAAAACAGGCAAGGCGAGAATTTAATGTCATAATAATTTTCATGTAGGTTTATTGCATATATTAATGATTGAGACAAAAATGTAAAACATTTTTGTCTATGCAGGATCTGTGCATCTTATGTTGGGGTGCTGCTTTTGAGAGTTTAAGCAGAATCTGCAGTAATACTAAAGAGCATTTTGCTGAAATTAACAGCCCTGTGTGAGAAAACATTGTCTATAAAAAGAAACAATCTATTTTGTCCTTGCAATATTTAATAGTTAAAAATGACAAAATAGATTGTTTCTTTTTATAAACAATCTATTTTGTTGTTTTGTCTATTTAAATATTGCAAATACATGAGTTAATACAGTATGCAAACCTATCTAAACTGTTTTGTTTTTGATGGCTTCAGTAGTAAAATCTCACTGCAAGGAAGAAGAGAATAATACATTTTCCATGTTGATGGTAGCTAGGATGAAAATTAATGGGTTTAAACTACAACAAGATTTATATTATATGTGAAGACATACAATACAGTGTCACAGGAATAGCTGGAGCCTGACCTAAATGTGTCAAAGCTGCCTTGGGGAAAGGGGATCCCAGGACTGGCTGCCAGTTCTGCTTGTCTTGTGAGTTCAGCTGCTTAATCCTTACTGAGATCTAATAGAAAAGCTGTGCCATCTTATTCTAGGTATCTCAGTTCACTGCTCTCAGCTTTAAGAATTAGTGTTGGCCAGAGGATGATTGTTTCCTGTCACAGTTTACATGTATTTATTTTCTGCTCTTTGCAGGATTAAAGGTACTGTCTTTCAACACAGTGTTATTCTGTGAAAGCATCAATTTTCCAGTCATCTGCTCCACATATTTACTTTATCATTCTCTGGTTTTAGAGTCAGGATTGCCACAGAGTCTGACTGTTAAAAGATTTTCCAGAAGAAATTAATTTTTGCAAAAATTACTCCACAAAGCATTCCAGTTTCCATAAAACTATATCTTGAAGAAAAACATTTAATCGAAATAATCTTCCCTCAAGTAAAAAGGCTGCTTAAACCAATGCTAATTGCAACATGGATCTTTTGACTGACAGCAGAGTGAAACAGAGCCTGTTTCCTCACCATGAATGTCAATGGCAGCTTCACTCTGCATTTATGGCTTCCAACCCCAAATCCCATTTCCTACATACAGACCTTTTGGTTTAAATTTTAAAAAGTGCACAAATAAGAAATAACACAGTGAAAACAGCTTGTGTGAACAGGACCATAACTTGTTAAAAATGGCTGATCCATGTCTTTACTCATCAATATTATAGTGAAACTCTTTCCTTCCCACAAAGTCACAGTTAATTAGGAATCTCCCACTTTCACTGAAGTCCTTTGCAGTTTTTGACACTCATGAAATAAATCCAAGTTTGCTGATCTTTTCTGAGCCACAACAGGAACCCCCAGTCAGTAGTGTCCACCAATATGGGCACATTGCTAATCTTAAATCCACAACTTTCAAATTAGAGGACATTGCTTTGAAAAGTGCAAATGGTACCAATTCAGAACTGCTTTTCATATCTAAGGTAAAAGTCTGTTGGGTTTATATGTGTGTGAGAGTTAGAACACTGAAACTCCAGGAGCAGCTACTTAAAATATTTCTATGGCACCCAAATCTGAAGAATTCCATGTGGGAAAGAAGATGTGGAAACTAATTTTCATTTTCCGTAATGGATACAGGGGCTGTTTATCTCCATGGAGTATTAAAATTACTGCTGCTGTATATATTAAACATAAAGCTTAGCACAATGAAATGCCCTTGAAATATGAGTAACACGTAGTTTTTACTATACCATAAAATTCCTGTATTTCACAAAGTGTTATGTCCTCATTTAATTAAAAGATTCTTTGCATGCTTAAAGTTAAGCATCCTCCAAAATTTTTTGGTGGTTGAGGGATCATTTTCCAGCCCTATTATCAAGGGGAGACAAAAGCCAAATGTGGAAAAACCTGACCTTGAAACCCATGAAAGACCTGAACTCTCCACACAGAGCTGTTTGCCACTTCCTGACATCAGAGCAAGGCATTAATCTACCAGAGCCAAAATTCTGTTCTTGAGCAAAAAGCTCTTGGCTGGCAGGGATCAGTTTGTGGATTTCCAGAGGATGGTCTGGCAGAATAGCCATGAATTTTATTCCACCCTGCAATCATTAATCTCTTAAGTTCTCCCAGTTTGCCAGTCAGGCTCACCTGCTCTCTTACCCCCACAGGCTCCTTTGTTCCAGCACCATCTCAATGTTTGCTATTCTTACCTGCAAGGATGGCTAGAATTGGAAATATCTTCAGCACTGTTGCACACATCTTCTTGATGCTGGGAGAGAAAAAAGACCAGATGCTGCTTCTGGCTTCCACTGAGACTGAACTGGTTTAGTTTTTGAGGTTGGTTTTTTGTTTTCCTTATCAGCTGTGTCTCAACACGTCAGTGAGCTGTTTCATTCTCCTTTATCACATGTGTGCCTTGCTCCAACTGCTGGTGTGACTGTTCACTTGAAACCATTTTGTGGGGTTTGAGCAACCAAGGGTTTTGTTAATAATAAACCTTTGAATCAGAGAAGACCAAATGCTCCCACTTTTGCCAGGCCCTGCAGTATTTGCCTACTTAAGTACTTTCACTGAGTACAAGAAAGGTATTTGTGGAGCTACTTGGCAATCAACCTGATTACTAGTGTAGGGGTCAGGCCTAATATGAATAATCTTTATTTCCTGTTAATTCTGTAATTTCCTGTTTAAAATGGGCATGTGTAGATAATACATTGTCAGTACATTTTCAATTCAAAGCATGTCTCTTATACATTTTGTTCAGCTTCCTGCAGGAGCCAGATTTGCTTTTTGTGCTCCATGGTGTTTGACTGAGGCTGACTCAGAGCCCTGAGCTGGTTCTGTACACAGCCATCCATGGGCAGTGAGTGCCTGAGGACAGAGCAGAGGGCAGCATTGCCTTGTGCATGTGTGCCTGCACTGGGACCAGGGCAGGGACTTTTCCTGTGCTTGTTGAAAGCATGGGACTAATTAATGCCTGAGGATCCCATGGGAAGCCCTTTTGGAAGGTGGGGTTCAGCATCAGGCCATGTGAGGTTGGAGGGGAAAGGTAAAACCAGGCTCTCCCTCACCTCTCGTGTGATATGGTGGCGGATTCTTCAGCAGAGAAGTCAGGTTGCTGGCAACATCAGTTACAGTTCGGATCAGGCTTATGGATTATTTTATTCTGCCAGATATTTCTGTGCATGGCAGATGCCTGAATAATCTCTGGGCAGATGGCAGGGTTTGGTGATATTTTTATATGAGCCATCTCCAAATGTTTTGGAGATGTCTTCTCCTTGGTTCTGACTGTGAGCACCTCACACAGAGTCCCACAGAGTGGGCAGTACCTGTCTTTAAACTATAATAGGGTGGGCAAGTCTTGCAACTGCTAAATGTCTTTTCCAAGAATCACAGGGGACCCAGAGTCCAAAAATGAATACGAACATTGAAAGACTGAAATTCAAATTCAGATTTCTTCTGTTGAAAAGCATTTAGATTCACCTTCACTGAGGAAGTGTGGAAGCATCACAAGCACTCATGGGAAGTTTCACTGGCTTTTCCCAAAGCCCAAAATGGGACCTGCTGCTGATTTCCAGTCATTTAACCATGGATGAATGCAATGATCTGAACATGAGATACAGACACATTCAGTGACTGCCTGTGGCAGCTCCATGGTACCCAGGAGTGTTACTGGTAGCTCACAGAGCCCTGATCCTTTGCATAAGACAGCAATTTCCAAGAAGATGCAAAAAACCACTGCCACCCTGCTGAGTAAGCCAGCACCTGCAGGATCCCGTGTCTTTACCACAGTATCAGTGTGTCCTCTAATTCCCTCTCATCTGTCAACACCAAAGTCCTTTCCCTGCCATTTAAAGCTCCCTCAGCTAAAATGTATTTTTGCTTTGTTACATTCTTTTTTTGCCAATTTAAAAAATGACAGAACTACATTCCTGGAGGGTGAAATGCTCAGTTTGACCAGAGAACAGGAGCCAAGAACACAAATTCTGTGTCAGCATGTGGCCCTTTAATCTTGGGATGAAGGGCTGAGATTACAAGTTACAGAATGGGTAGAGCTCATAGCAAAGATTACAACCATTACCCTGTTTTAGAGAATTCTGAACAGCAGGAGGAGTGTTTATGTTTGATTGTTACCCACCAGGGGCTCATTCCTCTCAAACCAGAGGTTCCCAGCACTAATCCTGCAGGCCCTCCAGGGTTACTCTCCTGTGACAGTGATGGAAGGCACCTGTCAGCTGCTGACTGTGCTCCTAACTCTGCTCCTGGAGAGCAGCACTGCCTGTTCTGGGGAACTGAACACAGAAAACAAAACCTGCTTTGGTGTGATGTTTTAAATTACAGTGGGAAAAAGAACCCCTCACTTACTGAGCTAAGAGCAGAGAGCAGCCCAGAGTGCAGCAGCACAGTGCTGTGCTCTGGGTGGAGAAAGGCTCCTATCTCGAGATAAAATGGAAGGGGCCACTACCAGGAGCTGTGTGTGACAGACTTTGTGAGTCAAGCCTGTGTACATTGAAATGTATTCAGAAATTTTCCCTTTTCAAGGAGTTCCCATGTATTCACTCTCTAAATAGAAGTGTCAGTCATTAAAAAATGAAGCCCAGAGGCAAACCCCAAGCAAGGCAGCATCACCCAGACAAAGCACTGCCAGGATATGTAGAAGTTGCTTCTGTTGGCCTGAAACCTAATTAAAAAACTTCCTGTAGAACTCCATGTTTTGCTTGACAAAACTCAGCAGTGTTTCAGCTGCTCTGTCTTCCTGAAATAAGCTAAATCTGTAATTGTGTGGTGACATTAAACCCAGTCCAACCCAGGGATTTACAAAGCTCTCTAGCTGAGCATCACAGCTGATGGCTGAGGATGAAGAGAAGTGTGTAATTAAAGATTCCAACAAGTGCAGTGAAAGAGCTGCTTTAAGCCTCTAAATCCATCCGTTGGTTGATTTTCAAATGCACAGTACAATTTGCTTGCTTATTGCACAGACTTGTTTGTGGTTTAAAAAACATTTATAAGTTTTTGTGGAGTGTTTGCAGCCTAAAAGCTAATTAATGAACTCACTGCTATTTTTAATCTTGTAGAGAGTGAAAAAGGTAACAAAAATATAAACTTTTCTGAGGAGAGCCCCATGGCTTGTCACTTCAAGGTAACTTGGTCAGAAATATACCTAACCCTCTGTATTCAATCCCCAGATGAATATTATCAAATATTATCAAATATCAAATTATCAGTTTCTTATCAAAAAGCACAATTATGTTTCCTTGTAAAGGGTCTAGAATGGTCTTTTTTTTTTAATATTGTCCCTTTCCTCAGTAGGAAGAAGGTTTATTTTCCTTTTAGCCATTCAAAAGCCAGAGTTTCCTAGAGCAAAATCCTTGTCCAAGAAGCTTTTCTCTTTCTGGGGGGGAAATAAAGAAAAACAAGCACTGGAGTGAGATGAAGCAGCTGCCCAGTGCTCTGGTCCTGGCACAGAGGATGCTCCCAGTGCCTCTGCCTGCCTGTGCTGGGCTCCACACAGGTGGGCAGGGTGGGGAGCAGATCCAGCCTCTCTGACACACACAGGCCATGCAGGGAATTTTCTTATCCTGTATCACTTTAGGAAACTGATGCCTGCTGCAGTCAAAAGGATTTGTTTGTGTGCGACACCTTGCAATAGAGCTGTGACTCCTGTACCCACAGCAGTGTGTATTTGGTCACAAGTGCCATGGGAAATGGATGGGAATGTCAGCATCTGGGCACATTTGTGGATCTGGCTCAGGCTGTTTGGGTTGACAGGAACACTCCTCTGATCTTCCCTTCCCTCTGACCTGAGGAGAAAATGAAAAGCAGAGGAACAGCTGCTCAGGATGCTGCCCAGACCTCCTGGGGATGCTGGGGGAGCATCCACATTCCCTGGGGTTAGGCTGCCTTGGGTTGTGCTGGGCCAGGATGATGGAAGAGCTGGAGAGTTTTGTTGCAGAAGCAGGGGAGGTTACACATGGCAAATTTAAACACCTTGTGTGCAGGGGAGCTGAGCACCACGAGTGCCCTGATGGATGCAGGACAAAGAATGACTTTCTAACATAAAGTGCCACCAATCAGACAATACATTTCTGCTCTGTGGCTCAAGTGTCAAAGCCAAAGCAAGTTCTCCCCTGTGTGGTAAATCACAGTAAAATGGTTCTGCCTTTGTACCATTGCTGTTCCCTTGGATTTTCATTGACTGCATAACATTTTCCCTGCATATGATTAACTCTCCTTATGTCTTTTTTTCTTTTGACCTTTCTCTTTTTCATGTAGTTTCACAATTGAAGCTAATCAAATAAAAAAACAAAACAAAACAAACCCCAAAAGGAAAACAACAAGCAAACAAACACAACAACAAAAAAGGAAAATAAGGAAAATTCACACTGAGGATATGAGGTTTAAACTGCCTATTGACTTTATCAGAGGGAAAGGTCTTTTTTTCTAATCATTGTTTGCATTTTCATAGATTAACATTTTTTGTGACTATTAAGTGGTTTTGTTGTCCTTGTCTAAAATGAAAAATGCTTTCAGCTCAAGAGTGTATGGAACTGCATCATTTATATGGGTGCTGCTTGCCTTAACAGGTAATGATAATGTGATTTTAGGGTTACTCTGCCATATTAAGACCTGGCATAAAATTAATGCAATTGAGCTGAACTCTAGGCCTTCCACCTGCTCCTGCTGTCTCTGAGTTGGAGGGTTCAGGTGCATTGATGTTAAAAGGATGTGTTTGTGCTTTCAAACACAACAGTTCATGCTGTCTAATGACTACAAGGTAACCTCATTCTTTATTTTAAAAAATAGCCTGTTTTTAAATTCTCACTGTTTCAAGGAAATTCTTGGACTCAGTGCTGACCTCAGCTGCTCCCTACTCCATGTATTGCTACAAATCTCTTTGCTTTTGGCATGCTCCACTTTAGGAGAGAGACTAAAGCAACCTCTGTGTCTGAGCATTGCTTTGCCTGCCTGAGTCTGACCTGGCTGTGAATCCCTTTCATTTTAATTCACACAACTGGCCCCTGGAGGGAACTGAGAAGGTGTTTCTGTATCCAGGCTCTGCAACTCAGCTGCCCTCTGAAGGAGCCTGAATTTAGTGGGACTGTGTGGCCTTTTTCTTGGGGAGGCGGAATAATATTCGTACGTGCCATTAGTTATTAATTAATGCTGTACAGCTGGTTTTGCCCCAGCTGCCCTTCTCCCAGCAGAAGTGCCGTGGGGTCCCTGGTGGCAGCAGAGCCTGGCGGTGCCTGCTGGCAGCCAGCTTCCTTCCCAGGCTGCTCTGGCACTGCCCCTGGTGTCTGATGGGGCATTTTCCTTGG